GGTCTCTTTAAACGAATTAAGACACTTCAAAGCAAATTGCATTCACTTTTTGTGGTGGTTATATTGTATTGTATTTTTAAAAACTAATACTATTAAATATAATTATTTTAATTATTAATTATAATACGTTTATTATATTAAATGGATTAACAAAAATGAAAATGATTCTTCTCAATTTACTACCTTTTCTTTTTCTGTACCTTAGCATACAACTCTTCTCTGGGGTCTTCAGAACTTGAGCTGGATTTGGATCTTGAGCTTGATTTTTTACTTGATGCTCTTCTTCCAGCCAAACTATAAATGTCTTCACCTTCAGCACCACTTCCAGATGGTCCTGCTCTTGAATATATATCTTCACCTGGACTGCCTGCCATCGAGTAAATATCCTCTTGAGAACTTCCTGCCATTTGTGCTCTTTGTCTGTTCACTTCATCAGGATCTTCATAGTCACTTCCAAGTCTTTGTCTTCCACCAGGTCTGTGTTGCAAAGGAGAAGGTGGGGTGAAAGGTCTGTGTTGTCTTGATGGACTTGGTGGAGTACCAGGTCGTGGAGGAAGTGGTCTTTGGGCTTTAGGCGTGACACTAGCAGGAAGTGGTTCACTTTCAATTGCCAACACAATTTCTCCATCACTATATCCGGAAGTCTCATGAATACCATACCTTCTTTCTATCCCTCTATTTGCAGCTTTAATATATTTTATGTATTCGTCACAACTTAAAATAGCTTCCACTAAACCTTCCGTTCTTTTGAAAGATTGATACCTGATCAAAATTCTCAAAAACCTCGCCAATTTGGTGAATAAAGTGGTGGGTACCATCAAAGTAGATCCCACAATTGTTTTGGTTGATGCTTTTAATTTCGCTTTTTGTATTTTTCCAATGTTATTTTCCGTCTCCATTGCATGAATCCAAAGTCGCGAATTTCTAGCACCTTTACGTAAAACATTGGATACAATTTTGGCAAAATCTTCAACCTGCGATGGAGAAATACGATTGTTTCCAATAATCATCTCAAGTATTCCAGTGATCATTTTCATGTTTGCTTGGACGGCTTGAAAT